CAACAAATAACATTTTACATGAAAAGAACAGTAGGGTGGATGAAGCTGAGAATCAAATAACTGATTTGGAGCATGAGGAACCCCCTTCCCCCGCAAAAAACAAACCAACAACCAATCAGAACAACAAAAAGAAAAAGGAATTAAAAACAAAAAAAAACAAGGATACTATAAACAGCCACTGGGACAACTTCAAGCATCCCAACATTTGCATCATAGGGGTCCCAGAAGGAAGAGAGAAAGAGCAAGTAATTGAAAGTCTATTTGAAAAAATAATGAAAGACAATGTCCCTAATTTGGTGTAGGAATTTACATACAACTCCAGGAAGCACAGAGAGTCCCAAATAAGATGGATGCAAAGAGGCCTACTTCAAGACACTTCATAAATAAAATATTAAGGTTAAAAATAAAGAGAGAATCTTAAAGTCAGCAAGAGAAAAGCTGTTAGTTACCTACAGGGTGTCTCCATAAGACTGTCAGCTGATTTTGCAAAAGAAACTCTGCAGGCTAGAAGGGATTGGCAAGAAATATTCAAAATCATGAAAAGCCGGGACATACAGCCAAGATCGCTTTACCCAGCAAAAATATAACTTAGGATCAAAGGGCTGATATAGCATATCTCAGACAAGAAAAAAGTAAAGAAGTTCATCATCACCAAACTATTATTATATGCAAAATATTAAAGGACTTATTTAACAAAAGGAAGATCAAAACTATGAACAATAAAATAACAATAAATACATTTCTTTCAAAAATTGACTCTAAAAAAACATACTAAACAAAGAGAACAAAAGCAGAATCATGGATATGGAGATCATTTAGATAGTTGCCAGATGGGAGGGACTGTGAAGGAATAGGTAAAGAGGTGAGGGGATTAAGAAGTAAAAATAGGTAGTTACAGAATAGCCATGAGATGTTAAGTACAGTATAGGAAATGGAGTAACCAAAGAAATTATATGCATGACACATGGACACAAACAATGGTGTGGGGATTGCCTCAGGGAGAGGGAGTGCTGGGTGAAAGGGAGTAAAGGGGAAAAAATTGAGAAAACTGCAATAGCATAATCAATAAAATATAATTAAAAATATATATGTAAAATGCTCAAATTATCAATAAAATTATGGTTTTATTGATTAAAATAAAATTCTGAGTTAATAAATATTGTATAATGTATAACATATAATTACATATTAAATATAAAACTATAATGTATTAAAATATTATTTTATGAAGAGCCAAAACACTTCAATTTGAAATTTACTTTACTACAAACCTCTCTGATATTAGACTTCTTTGTACAAATATAAGTATTATATATTAAGTATATTGCTTGCATCAAGGAAATGTTCTACATTTGTAAAATTTCTAGGAAACTGCTACACCCTATTCAGTTATATGATGGAAAAATATAAAAATAATAAAACATTTTTGTCTAAATTTTGAAAACATATTATAGAAAGGCATCATTTTTAGTATGCCCTAATTCCTAAAACATACTGAATTTAGATGATTTTTACTCATACTTAAAATGCTAAAAAGAATCAATTTTTGTTGCTTAGTAATAAGTAAAGTTGATCCTCATTATTCACAGATTCCACATTTGGGAATCTACGTACTTGCTAAAATTTATTTGTCATACCAAAATCATTATGCATGGTATTTTCATGGTAACTCCTGCACCTGTACAGAGTGGTGAAAAATTTTAGTCACCCAATGTGTAGGTTTGCAGCATAGCCCCAACAAGGCAACACTGACTTCTCATTTCTGCTCTCACAGTGTAAACAAAGGTCCTTACTGCAGTCAAGTTAGTCCCACATTTTTTCCTCATCTTTGAGCTTTTTTTCAGTGATTTCATAGATTAAAATAGTTTCTAAGCATTATGCTAAGGTACTTCCTAATAACCTAAGTGTAAGATGGCTGTGAAGAATATTAATAGAAAGTATGTGTGTTGGATGAACTGTGTTCAAGCATGAGTTATAGTGTTATTGGCCATGAGTTTAATGTTTATGAATCAACAATATATTAAATAAGGTGTCTTTAGACAGAAACACACATAAGACCAGGTTTGTACAGATCTGTTGAAGAATATATTGTGAGCAGAGGCTTGTAGGAACCCAACACTTTATTTTCCCTAGAAACAATAATTGAGGATTCACTAGTTCAGTGGTTCTGGTGACTTTATACCATTCAACATGGTGCAAAAGTAAGTTTACATTTGTGAGTACACAAAACAAAAAGTTTATTCTTATATAATTAATTATTGTATTATTTTATATGAACTACTATAAACCTACTTTTGATCCACCCTGTAAAACTACCAAAATAATGATAGTAAACTCTGTGTATAATACTTCTTAATTTTCATCTCTAATTCTAAATAATTCAGTTAGAAAGCTGTGTTAAGGGAAATGTATGATATTGAAATAAAATCACGATCTTATTGGTTCACTTTGTGGACTTTCACCTCTCTAAGAATTCTATAAGCAATTTGGCAGCAGATCAGAGTGTTTGGAGGCTCAAGTTATGAAGCTGGCTACTATGAGATCAAATCTTGTCTCTGTTTCTACTATCTGACTTTTCAGCCTGTGTGTGTGTATATATATATGGGTTATACATATAACTCATATATGTATGATGGCAACATACACACACATCTTTACTCACAATAAGTCATTATTTTTCAGCTTAATGAAATTTTTATAGGTAACGATTTCCTGAAGAACTTGAAAAATTATTAAAATATATTTGTCATTCATTTTTAGACCCAACCCAGTGACCTTCATTCTAACATTCTTCTGCATTTCAGCAAGCACAAATTTCATCCCTCCAGTTCTCAGGCCAAAAAAGATAGAAATCATCCTTGACTCTGTTATATCTCTTAAATCTTAAATCCAATCCCACAGCAAATTGTGAAAACTTAATCTTCAAAATGTCCAGATGTCAGCCACTTCTCACTATGTCCCCATCTAGTGTAGATAGTGGCAATAGCTTCCTATATGTGTCCTATCCCTCACCTCCAACTATATTCAACAGAACAGATAAAATTATCTTTTTAAATGTAGGTCAGATCCTGTCACTTCTCCATTCAAAACACCCCAATTGTTCCCTTAATCACTTGCAATATAAGTAGATCTAGCATCCTTTCAATCCAGGTTCAAGTAGCTCCCATGCCTCTCTGACTTCATGATGTGCCATGCCCTTATCTACTCCACTTGAGCTACACTGGTCTTCTGCTGTTCCTCAAGCACAACATGCTGCAAAACAGCTTTGCTCTTGCCATTCCCTCTTCCCAGTACAGTTGCATCCACATTTCCACAAGGCTCATGGCTCAGATGTCACCTTCTCCATCAGACTAATCTTTAATACTCTCTACTTCATTCTTTCTGTGTCTTCCAACAATTTTCTTTAGTTGACATACTATATATTTCATTCATTTATGTTTTTTCTTCCTGTTTCTCCCCAGTAGAATGTATGCTGCAAGAGGCAGGGATTTCTGCTTCCTTTGTTCCCTGTTGACCCCCTTAGTACAGAATAGAAGGCATTAAAATATTTATTGAATAAGTCAATGTACAGTCTCTTATTCATCAATGAGCTTTGGAAAATATAAAGAATATCAAGTGTGAAAGACTAAATACACAATGTCATTTAAGTAAAATAAATCTCAATTTTGAGGTTGTTAGCAAGAACATATTCCTATATTAATTATACAAGAACATATTTCTATATTAATTACAATTTTTATGACAATGTATTTCATCAACATTTATTTGAAAGGAATTTATTGCTGCGGATGTATGGTGGGCTGGCTATAACACAGTGGTAATGAGGCTACTCAGACTTACTTAAGCCATTAATTAAATTTCTTGGTGATACACTTATAGTGCTTGCTTTTGTTTGTTTTTGCCATCACTCTATAATATAAAATGTCTTTTCTATTCACTGTGTAGCAGTGAAAACATAGCAGTCACTCAATCTATATTTCCTGAATGGATAAACTGTAACTTCCATGAGAGAAGAAATTATGTTAAAATTAGTTGATAATCAATAAATATTACTTAAATGAATGAAGATAGTGATCAGCATATCAAGTTCAGTGAATTACAGTAACTAGTAAATATATAATTTTGCATATTTGGTTGGATTATTTCAAAATGTGAGAAATGATACTGCAGAATCATAAAAATGTGAGTAGTTTGACAATTATAGATTTAAATCCTTGTTTATACATGAAATAAAACCAGTTTCTTCCTGGTAAAGAAGAGAAACATGATCAGATGCTGAGACCACTTGTGGGCTGAAGCAAGCACTTCTAAATATAAGTTCAAAGTGAGTAGAATGAGAAATTCTAGAACACTTAAAAAGATGAATGTGGCTATGAAACTATTAGATATGAGTTAATAATGGCAATATTAAATTCAGTCTGACTTCAAAAAAATTGGCCTGCCATTCTTTCATTCATTTGTTTATTTCTGTATTTGACAAGTATACACTGTCTATTAAGTGCTGACATTGTTTTTCAACAAAAGTATTAATGTTTTATGAGGATTGTTACCTGGGTATGAGCTATAATTGAAAGCAACAAATAACTCCAAAGATTTTTATACTTAAAATTTTCATTTTCATACAAATAAATGTAGACACTTCCTTACTAGATAAAAGCAAAAAGAACAGCATTCAATATAAGCCATATATTCTTACTATTGTATACCTAGTTGACTAAAAAATTAGGAGAACGAATTGAAAAAATACAATTATCAAACTCAATTAGGACTGACTTGTGAAATATTAAGGCATATAATAACCAAAAAAAGAGCAAAAGGAGTAGAGCCTGGCATATCTACACAATTTGTTTTATAAATTATGTAACCCGCAACCTTACTCTCTAATTATCTTATAATTGCAGGTGAATACATCACAACATATACAGACATTTTTTCTCTACTGAACTACTATATATGCCATCAAATCTTCAAATAGTTATAAACTTAATTGCTTTACTTACTAATACAAGGAGCAGGACAATATCAGGATTATCACATGCACATGCAATGTGCATGGGTGTCCAAAAGTCTTCATCCTGGTGATTGACATTGACCCCTTTGTCAATCAGGATCTCTGCAATGAAGGCATTATCATATCGAGCACACTAAAAAAAAAAAAAAAAGAAAGAAAAGAAAATGTAATATCTTACAAACTATGATAAAGTTTATTCCAAATTTCCAGGGATAGAAAACCTTTATGCCAATTTTGGAAGTTTAGAGGTGGATCTATTGGAAATAATGTATTCATGTTTTTTAACTAACCTACAAGAAAAGGGCATCAGGTAAGACTTAAGGGGAAACTGAATCCATGAACAGTGCAAAGAAAAATAAGAAAGAAGGGGCCAGTATTATAAAGAGAAAAAATATCTCACTATTTGGGTCCTCTTCATTTCCAGATAGTATTAGAAAATCCTGGGCCACTTATTAGAATTAACTTTCTAAAATTTGCATTTAATCATACAATCCTTCTGCTTTAAAACATGTGTAGTTTCTCACTGCCAAAACAATAAAGTTTCACCATTTTATTTCATCCAAGAAAGATAAGATTCTTCATAGTCTTTCTATCTTCATCTATCAACATTCTTTTTTAATTTATTTTATTGATTATGCTATTACAGTTGTCCCATTTTCCCCTCTTCACAACCCTCCACCCTGCATACCCTCTCCTATCCAAATTCCCCCCTTCAGTTCATATCCATGTGTCATACTTATAAGTTCTTTAGCTTCTACATTTGCCATACTATTCTTGCCTTCCCCCTGTCTATTTTCTACCTACCATCTATGCTACTTATTCTCTGTACCTTTTCCCCCTCTGTCTTCCTCCTACTCCCCTGTTGCTAACCCTCCATGTGATCTCCATTTCTGTGCTTTTTTCCCTGTTCTAGTTGTTTGCTTAGTTTTTGTTTTTGTTTTAGGTGTGGTTATTAATAATTATGAGTTTGCTGTCATTTTACTATACATGTTTTTTTTCTCTTCTTTTTCTTAGATAAGTCCCTTTAACATTTCATATAATAAGAGCCTGGTGATGATGAACTCCTTTAACTTGACCTTATGTGAGAAGCACTTTATCTGCCCTTCCATTCTAAATGAAAACTTTTCTGGATAGAGCAATCTGGGATGTAGGTCCTTGCCTTTCATGACTTGGAATACTGCTTTCCAGCCCCTTCTTGCCTGCAAGGTCTCTTTTGAGAAATCAGCTGACAGTCTGATAGGAACTCCTTTGTAGCTAACTGTCTCCTTATCTCTTGCTGCTTCTAGGATTATCTCCTTCCTTTTAATCTTGGGTAATGTAATTATGATGTGCCTTGGCATGTTCCCCCTTGTGTCCAACTTCTTTGGGACTCTCTGAGCTTCCTGGACTTCCTGGAAGTCTATTTCATTTGCCAGAATGGGGAAGTTCTCCTTTATTATTTGTTCAAATAACTTTTCCACTTGTTGCTCTTCCTCTTCCCCTTCTGGTACCCCTATAATTTGGATGTTGGAACATTTAAAGATGTCCTGGAGGTTCCTAAGCCTCTCCTCATTTTTTAAAATTCTTGTTTCTTAATTCTTTTCTGTTTGGTTGGTTGTTTTTTCCTTCTGGTCCACTCCACTGATTTGAGTCCCAGTTTCCTTCCCATTACTATTGGTTCCCTGTGCATTTTTTTTTATTTCGCTTAGCATAACTTTCATTTTGTCATCTAATTTGCGACCAAATTCAACCAATTCTGTGAGCATCCTGATCACCAGTGCTTTGAACTGTGCATCTGATAGGTTGGCTATCTCTTCGTTGCTTAGTTGTGTTTCTTCTAGAGCTTTGATCTGTTCTTTTGTTTGGGCCATTTTTTTTTGTCTTGATATGCCTGTTATGTAGTGAGGGGCAGAGCCTTAGGTATTCACCAGGGCAGGGCAACCCATGTTGCTGCATTGAGATGCTGTTTGTGGGGGAGGGGTCTAAGAGGGAACAATGGTGCTTACTCCACTCTGTGGAATTTCAGTCCCTTCCACAGCTTCTCCCAAGCAAACTGGGCCCTTCTGGTGCTGATTTCCATGTGGGTGAACTTGTGTATGTTCTAGAACCTTGTGGGTCTCTCCAACAAACTCTCCTGTAAGGCTGGGAGTTTCTCCCCATACTGTAACCCCCCAGGTGTTTTCAACTGGTGTTTTGAGGCTTTATTTCCCCACACTGGAGCCCTGGGTTGGGAGGTCTTTCTTACTCCCCAGTTTTGCCTAGTTTATCTGCATATGAATGTGGGACCACATGGTCATCCAGCCGCCCTGTGTGCTGTGCTGGTCCACAATTCGCCACCTCGCTGGGTCCTCCTGCTGCTACCCTGTGCCCAGGGTCTGCCAGATGCTGCTCTTTTTGCCTTGACCCCTCTCCACTTGGCCACCCAACTCTGCCCCCCTTACCGTTCTGGATGAATGTGTCTATTTTAACTCCTTGGTTGTCAGACTTCCATACAATTCAATTTTCTGTCAGTACTGGTTGTTTTATTTTTTCTAACTTTTTGTTGTCATTTTGGTTGTGCAAGGAGGCACAGTGTGTCTACCTATGCCTCTATCTTGGCTGGAAGTTATCAACATTCTTATATATAGCCTTTACACTAGTTACATAAGACAACTAGGCATTACACAACATACCATCTTGTAAAAGTTAACTGTTGCATATAAAGGAATTTCTAATATGTTTTAATAATTGCATGATATTATATTTTATAGATATTCCATAATATAGTAGATAAAAACCTTTAAGAAGTTATTTTGTTCTTATTTTTATTTACTATTTAGAGCAAACTCATATTAACATTACATGTATAAGTCACAGCTGGCTTCATCGGAGTATGAAAATGTAGTTGTGTTTAGATGCATCCTGCACTTGGTTTAAAGCCCTTCTCTCACCATCTTGAATGTTTAATAACTTTTGTAGAGTTCCACATATTTATTTTGCACCTGGCCCTGAAAATTATTCATCACTTATATTGAATGTAAGATTTTTTCATATTTGTAGCCCTGGCCAGGTAGCTCAGTCAGTTAGAATGTTACCCTAATACACCAAGGTTACAGGTTTGATCCCTGGTCATGGCACATACAAGGATCAACTAATGAATCATAAATAACTGAAACAACAAATTGATGATTGTTCCTCTGTCTCTGATCAATAAAAAAATAAAGAAGACTTTTATACATATTAGCACATTAGTAAAATTAGTTTTAAAAAGACCTATTAATAGGTGAAATACTTATCAGTAAACTTTCTGGGTTGTAAGATAACACATGTTTATAGAATTTGAATACATAAAAAGGATTTCCTCCACAAAATGTGTACAAATCATGCTACCACCAGAAGTACTGTCATAGCAGTGTATCATTCTATTCACTGAATAGTAAAATTACAATGAATTCACTGGAGGACTTCCATTTTTAAATAACAGGGACTATATTTACCTTCCTGCCTCAATCTCCTAAATAAAAATAGACAAACTATAGTCTCTGAGAGCTGGGAATTAAACAAGGCAGCCCTACTGCTGCTGTTGCTTCAACTTATAGCCTTGAGGGAATTCCCAAGCTACAGAAGAAAGAGGAAAATCCCAGTTGACCAGAATCAGTCATGAGGAACCTGAACTGGAGGTCCAGAGAGACCAAAATGGCTAGAGTGCATGAGGCAGGGAGTAGAGAGGGTAGAGTGGCAAAGAGGGAGTATTTCAAAGATCTTAGAAGCCCCCTTTAAGTACTTAGTTGAGTCATGGTCAGTACATACACTCTAGGAAACTACCCAAGATCAGAGAAAGAACCCCCTGAAAAGAAGGACTCAGATCCCATAAACTTCCAGAAGTAGTGCCTATTTCCACTAGTCAGATTGTAAACTTTATAACTTATGGGGCATTGGGTAGAGTATCAGATGTTTCTTGTAGCCAGGGTGGGAAAATATCCTTAAACTAAACACTGCTCTGTTCCACCTAAAAAATATTAAATTCAATGTCTAAAGGATCATACTGTTTCCAAATAACTTAACTGTCCTCAAAACAAAGCTCAAGATTATTAACAGAAAACAAAAATATTCAGTACCCAACAAGGCAGAATTGTCTGTGATTTACATCCAAGAAAAAAATTACCGTATACACAGACAAAAAGCAAGAAAATGGGAAACACAATAAGAAGAAAAAGTTATCAATAAAACCAACTCAAAAGGGATATGCTTGTTAGAATTGGCAAATATAAGCTTTAAAACTATTATTATAATTATATTCCATATGTTTAAAAAGCTAGGAGAACTACTGAACATAGTAATTAGACATATGGAAATCATGTAAAAGGCTCAAATTTTATTTCTAGAAATAAAAAATATGGTGACCAAAATGAAAAATGTGCTATGAGATGGACTTAACAACAGACTAGATATTGCCAATATGAGATTAGTGAACTTGAAGACAGTAATATTAATTATACATAATAAAACACGGAGAGAAAAATGACTTTAAATAAATGAACAAAGAGTTCATCAGTGAGCTGTGGGAAAACTTCAAACAAACTGACACTGCACTGATTAATAGCATGGAAATGAGAACTACATAGATACTTTTATATTTTTTAATAGATTTTATTTATTTATTTTAGACAGAGGGGAAGGGAGGAAGAAAGAGAAGGAGAGAAACATCAATGTGTGGTTGCCTCTTGTGTGCCCCCTACTGGGGACCTGGTCTGCAACCCAGACATGTGCCCTGATTGGGAACTGAACTTGCAACCTTTTGATTCACAGGCTGATGCTTAATCCACTGAGCCACACCAGCCAGAGCCATTTATGTTTTTATTATTTAATTATCTTAAAAAGTAGGAATTAGAAGACAACCCAATTTTTAAAAATTAGGCAAAAACTTTAAACTGATACTTTACCCCAAAAATGTAGGAATTGTGATTCACAATCATAATACATAGTCATTGAAGAATATTCATATCCTTCTTATTACCTGATAATCTTAAGAAGATACACTAAGCAAATGCAAAATTATGGTGTAAATTCCATATGGAAGAAGATATGAGCATGCGTTAGCATTGGGATGTATGAGAGCACCTGGGGAAATGTCAAACATACAGAGTTTGAGAGATTAGTTTCAGTTTTGAACTA